GAAAGAACTAGTGTGGTAAACTAAAGCACTTAGAAAAAGTAGTTGAAAAAAAAAAAGTAAAATAAAATTATAACACATATGAGTTCATTACCTGAAATAAATACCAGAAAATAAATATTTATTTGTGCCTTTTTTAGGAACTTGAGCACTGGTCTATAAAAATGGACCAGTTGTCTCGCTTATCAGTTTTGTAACGTTTGACTTGCACAGTCTTAACAATTGAAACAGTCTTGAACTTGTACCTTTATAGACAACGTGAACAGTTTGAACACTGGTCTAATACTTATCAAAGCAGAATCTCTTGCTTATGAACAGTCTGTCAAAGTTCTTGCAAAACAGGTTCTATTTGGCACTGAAAATGTGTTTATGGTCAGCATATATTTCATGCATGCATGTAATCCAGCATTACAGTTTTAAATGTTATCCCACTGATATCACCCTCTCTGTTTTCTGTTCACTATCCTGTTGTCATATCACAGGTGAGTTAAGCTACTACCACTGTTGCATATAAAAAGCATTCAACTGGCCAAACATGGGTGGTTTTAATTGACAGGCACTTACAAGAAACACAAAGTTGAAATTATTTTTGACTGAGTTTTTAAATTAAAATAATGTTTTTCAAATTATATCTAACTAAATCAACCTTAACAAGAAAAAACTGAACCTATGATCACAAAATGTTAACCTTAACTGATTTGTTTGCTGGATGGTGTATTGGCCACATAGAGCTCTCAGACATTCTTTAACAACATATGGTAATTAATGCACTATAACTGTAAAATCACATTTTGCTTTGAATCTATTTCTCAGCTTTTCAAATTCAGTTTTGCAATTGCCAGACCTGTGAAGAGCTCTTTGTGGTGAAGGACAGGGCCATCAAAGACAGGGCCAGAGTTGCACCCCAGGACAACAAACATGAAAAGGAAATGTTACCGACAGTAACTTAACATTCAGGAAAGAAATGCAACTGGGTGAGGATTTCCAATATCTAACACAGACTGTAACGGCAAGATAAGGCTGAAAATACAAAAACTGTTTCCTCTTAAATGCAGCTGCCCTTGGGCACATTTTATTGAGCCACTGCAAAACAAAGCAGCACCTTTGCTGAGAAGATATCTCCTATAACGCATGCAGAAAACATTAGCGCACTTCACCTTGAATCAGCAGCTCACAAGTCATTAACTGCACATTGCGTTCACAGAGCTGTACCCTGGTCTCATCTCAGGAAAGAATGAGTTTACTCAGGGGAGTGTGCTGAAAGTGGCAGTGATGGCCCCTTGGATTCTAGGTTCATTTTAAGAAAACAAATATGGTAGGTGTAACCATTATCACTGGGTACTATTTCTTCTATTTACATCTTTTGTGCTGAGTACAGTTCAGTAGATAATGACTACCATTAAGGTGTTCTTCCGATAGTCGCTGAGAAACTGATTAGCCCACAGAACTAAGGAGTATACTATATACTGTATGCACATGCAAAGAAACCTGGAGACAAGCTATTGTACCACTGACAGATTGTGGAGATCAACTTGGAAATGTAGGAATTCACTCAAGTGTGAGAATCAGTCATAATTAATTTAGGAGTCTACAAAAATTAATCCACCCGAGAGTGCCAGAAACGTTTCTGTGTCGTTTCCCCAGCCACCTGCTGGCTGCCTTATGATAGACGAAACCCTTTAGTAAACAAGCATCACAAAATGGCAGAGTGAGGCATATTGAACATTGCTCTGTCTCGTCATTGCCATCTTCTCAGCAAAGTAATTAGATGCTGGGGTTCAAAAAAAAAAAAAAAAAACAGCAGCGGTGTAGCTGCAGGAACCTTCTCTGCTAAGATGAATATGTACATGAGAGTCACATGAATTTACACATATGACACGATGAACATATAATGTGTTGTGCTTTATGATGTAGAGTATGGGTCACCTTTTCATTATAGAGGAGTACAGGTGGGCAAAACCTCAAGCACCAAAGTAGAGTCTGTACATACCTCCACAAACTAGCATGCTGTTTGTTGCTGTTGTGTTTCTTT